TCGGCGGCACTCGATGACGTAGTATGCTTGAAATAGTGGCTCTGCAGCAGCTTTACTCGCGATTGAGAAACACCCATGGTCTCTAGTAATGTGTGCTTAAAGTGCACCAGATTGAAGCATTTTACTTTACATTTTCAAACATTTCTTCCCGGGGGGGCATACCCCCGGACCCCCGAGAGGATGTGATGTCCACATCCCAATTAAAACATGTTCATACAATACTGAATACATTTGAAGCCTTTTTGATGTATATTATATGTCAATAAGTTTCTGTTTTTGTAGTGTATTGGTCTTTTGTAGAGATTTTTCATTTATTCTTTATATATTCTATTGTGTATTCCTTGGATACTTTTATCTTTTCTACTGTACGATTGAAGTAAATGTGGGAAGCGTTTAACAACAGCCATTTTCCAAAGATTTTTCTCAATGTTATTCTTATTTTTGTTAATCCTGGAAGAATGTCAGAAAAAAAGACATTCTCTTCAAGAATATAAAAAAACATGATAACAAATTAAATAAGTTGTTAGGTTAAGTCAGGGCCGGTTTTTGGCATATGCGACGTAGGTGGTCGACTAGGGCGCCAGATCTGGGAGGGCGCCAGCAAACATATCGCCCAGGGAAGCAAACGTGTTAGAACCGGCCCTGATTGTGTAGGAAACGGGCTCCGTGTTACAAGACGGGTCGGGGTTTTTTGCGGTATACCGCTGCACACACACACACACACACACACACACACACACACACACACAAACACACCGCAGCAGACTATCTGCCCACACACACACACACACACACACACACACACACACACACACACACACACACACACACACACACACACACACACACACACAAAAACACCGCAGCAGACTATCTGCCCACACACACACACACGCACACACGCACACCGCTGCAGACTCTCTGCACGAAGGAGCCGCGGTGCTGCAGCTCCTGATCGGAGCAGAGACACACGTTCACTAAGCGGAAAAACTATATCCTGTCACAGAGATCTGCTATTTTAAAGTAAAGTCAACACATATCGACCCTAAATAAAGTCTATATTAAGAACGAGAGATGTTTTAACATATGGCTTAAACAAATGACAGCGAGGGTGATGACGTCAGAGCATCGTCCCATGGACAGCCCCGGCCCAATTTAACCCCTGCATACATCACATGTAAACAGATGTGAGTAAAATGGGTCGCCGCCAGGTAGTTGGTAGTTTGGAATAAGGGTCCCTTTGAAGGGCCCAGGGGATGAACAGAAACTAGAGCTTTCATGGCTCTTTTTCAAATGTGAGATAAACTTAAGAGTATGGATTAATAAGTCAAAGAATGAATGATGTGTCTGTGTATAAAGTCATTGAAACAATAAACAGACTGAATCATGATTGTAAAAATGACATAAAAAAAGTTTTAATCTCTAGTGTTTTGTTTGTAAATTGCCCTGTTGAGGTGTACTATACCCTGGGTAGATGTGACCAGCTTAAAGTCCTGGTACTCAGTGCACATGCGTCGGACCACATCTATTTGTTCCAGAGCCAGCCGCACGGCATCCTTCTCCTGGGCCCAACACATCACATAGACTGAAAACATCTGACAAAGGGAAGGGGACGGGACACAAGAGCGTCACTGAGGTGCTGCTCTAGGTTTGATCATTTTACAGCTTTGTAGATGCTTTCATTCAACATATACTATATATGGAGCAATCCATACTTTAGAACAGATCAGTGTCAGGAGTGATTCAATTGAAATACCTGCGTCTGTACATGGCCTGCTTGGAGACGGTTGATGTCGGTGGCCACATTGCTAACATTATGAAGGTCAATTTGGCTCAGACGATTGTTGTGAAGTTTCCTCAGCTGAAGAGCAAGGTCATTATGACTGATAGATGGAGAGAAATGGTGTCAGAAAAAAGGAAGGGCATTGAAAGGCTTTTTTCTATTCCATTAATTCACTTTCACAAACTATAGACAGCATTTACCCATCAATGAGAGGATACTTGGACATCAAGTCACGTACTCTATCTCTGTCAGAGTATACAGAGATAAAACAACAGAGAGAGGAGAGGACCACCAGATGCCCTACAGACTTCATCCAGGATCTGCTTGAAGCACTTGTTACACAAGAAGGCATATTCTGAGGAGAAAAACACACCAGCGCAGTACAGTTAGAATCACAGCTACTGATAACATTGTCTATTTTGGCATTATAATTTAGTAAGGAATTTCCCTGCACAGATAACACATTAGGGCTGCTCGATTATGGCAAAAATCATAATCTCGATTATTTGGGTCAATAATTGATATCACGATTATTAAAAACGATTATCCATTTACTTTGAAAAAATCAATTTATTGAAAAAAAAAAGTTTGAACAGAATGTTTTTAACAGTTGATTACCCTAAACTTTAAGTATAATTCAACTGAAAAACCAATAAAAAATAAAATAAAGAAATAATTCAAATAAATAATCTTTTTATTTCAATTATGTTGTTTTCATAATCGTTGGAAGCCAAAATCGTAATTGCGATTAAAATACGATTAATTGAGCAGCCCTATAAGACATTACAATAGCAGCTGGAAATACAACATTACAGCATCTTATAAAAAGTACTGCTTCACATCTCATGCAGTTTGAAGTCCCACTTGTTAGATTACACTGTTACTGATGAGATCAAACCCCCCTTTTCATAGTATGAATTGATGTGTACTCACTATTTATTATTATAAAACACAGTAAGACCACACTAACACAGTATGTAAAATACCTGAAAACACCCACTGGAAAATAAAGCAATTATGCATGTTCATTTACAATAATATGTATATCTATATAATAGCGTGAAACTATATGATATATACAAAAAAATAATGAACTTACATGCCAGGACGTTTTAAAGCAGCTTGTTCAACAACTGCATTCAAACAGTGCGAACTTTCCAGCTCTCCACCCTAGTAAAACAAAACCCGAGCAGATGCACTCAGTGCTGCGTTCAAGTCCACGCAAAAATAATACGCATTCATAAAATTTGAGTGTTATTCCGACGTGTTTACCTGTAACAAAGTATGTGCTTAGCTAATATATATATTAGACAGTAGAAAAAGCAGCATCTCTAAATGGACTAATCATCGCCCCTTCTTTATTTAAAAACCTATAGTGTTGCAGTGACTGTAACAAACGATAATTACAAATCAGAAAACAGGTGGCTCTATAGAAGCTATACAATTCAACTGTTGGGAACAAGTACATATTTAGTTTTTCATATTTTTCAATTGCAGTTTTATTCGTGTACTTATTTATTTCACTGCGTTGCAATACGATGTAAGGATTTACGAGGAGCTTTTGAATGCACCATGGAGACCTGTGGATTTGATGTTGCCATCTATTGGGCAAATAATGTTATCGCTACCATAAAAGGACAGTTGCCCACTTACTGCCTCGTAACCTGTGTTTTATATGTACACAGTTACTGTTCATATTTATAAAGATTGATATTGTTTTACAACCAACAAAGACTGAGTTGTTGGAAGCTAGTATACGTCCAAATCAACTGGGCAAACATTTTTTATTTCTTGTTTATTCAAGAACATTATAGACGTTGTATACAAAAGGGTTAGACATAGAGTAAAACAAATATATCATATTTCAGATTCAATAATTATTAAATTCACGATTAGTTTTGATTGCCTTTTTATTCATATCGTTTTTAATAGTGCTATATTGTGTTAATTCTTGATAAACATTTTTCTAAATGAGGTTTGAAGTCAGCCCATCGCTTTTTATGAATATGACATTTCCCCCCAAAAATCATATTAACTGTACAAAAATATTAAAAATAAATCTACGTCCATAGGTCCATACCATGGTCCATAGGGTCCATACCATGGTCCATACCATGGTCCATACTCTCAACACCGCTTTACTTTCTACGGTGACGCTACCTTTACAGGAAATTGCGCGAAAACATGGCAGGCAGAAGTGAAGCCAGTGCAAATACCTTGGAAAGTGATACAAGTAAGTCCAAATATACAGTTGAACACTCTTTAGCAAATATACAAAATGTGTAATAGAACAAAGACTGATAAATAAACCTGATAATAACTAAAAACGTATATTTTGCTGATGCCCACAAACTAGCTTCGTCATATCCGGCCTACAGTCCTTTTTGACTGCGGTCAAGCCAGCCGTCTTTCACTTTTGCGTGGTCAAACCAGCCAGCCCTGTATTTTGAGTGCGCGATTAGTTACAGGTTTACGGTAATGCAATAAAACAACTCTGGGAAGCTGGATTTCAAAGTAAAGGATGGCATGTGGTTCATTTCTATTATTTGCGATTGAGGAACAGGGTAATTTATGAGAATAATTGTAGGACTTATTGCTTCATAAACTTGTTGCACAAATACTATGAACTACTTTTACTGTGTGCTTTTTGAGAATGGCAAAATTCCCTCCAGAGAACAAGAAGGAGCATTTTTGTCTAAATTTGACGTGGGATAAAAAACATTTCTTCCATAAGTAGTTTATGAAACTGCCATGTTTGTACTTAATACTTCTAGGACTACTTGCAAACATAATATGAACTACTTTTACTGTGTACTTTTTCAGTAATTTGAGTTTCAAAGTCCTCTCCAGAGAACAAAGATTAGCATTTTTGTCAACTTTAATGTGGTCTAAAAAACATTTCTTCCATAAGTAGTTTATGAAACTTCCATGTTTGTACTTAGTACTTCTTAGACTACTTGCAAACATAATATGAACTACTTTTACTGTGTACTTTTTCAGTAATTTGAGTTTCAAAGTCCCCTCCAGAGAAAAAAGATTGAACATTTTTGTCAACTTTAATGTGGTCTAAAAAACATTTCTTCCATAAGTAGTTTATGAGTCTGCCATTTTTGTACTTAGTACTTCTTAGACTACTTGCACACATAATATGAACTACTTTTACTGTGTACTTTTTGAGTAATTTGAGTTTCAAAGTCCTCTCCAGAGAACAAGAATGAGCATTTTTGTCAACTTTAATGTGGTCTAAAAAACATTTCTTCCATAAGTAGTTTATGAGTCAGCCATGTTTGTACTTAGTAGTTCTTAGACTACTTGCAAACATAATATGAACTACTTTTACTGTGTACTTTTTCAGTAATTTGAGTTTCAAAGT